AAGAGAGCGAAACTGATTGAATGAGAAATATATCTATAATTAAATTCGAGGAAATAAGTTTAAATGAAATGCAGCAGAGAATATGTATAATTTAATAGATCGCACAAGGAAGTCGTGTATGATGCCCACATTACATTTTTTTTTAAATTAAAAAATTGCTTTCTAGAAATAATAATTTCAGATTTATTTTGTCCTCTTAAATGTATTTTATAACATATAGTTGTGCACCTCACGTTTTGGTTTAAAACGGCCTCAAAAAAGTATATAAACATATATAATATGCATATATTATATATATTTGTTGTTCTGATAATCCGGTTAATGTTTTCTGTGCCTTGAATTAATCTGCATGTAATAGTTGTAGAATTATCAACAATTTAAAAGCTATTAAAGTGCTGCTAAGCGTAACGAAGCGATAACTATTTGTTTGCATTTGAAACTTTTAGTAGAATAGCGAATTGAATAAATTGGTGCACCAACTTCAGTGACTTTTTGCAGAGACGAAAAGCAAACTCAGTTTTGTGCACCGAAAAATATGTCTTCCTGCCCGCTAGTTGAATTGCTTGTTTTTGCTAAGAAACTCTAAATTAAATTGTAAATATTTTCTTTAACACTATTTAACTGTACTTGGTGTTTTATTTTTTCTTTATTTTACAATTTTTAAGGAATATGTTTTGAGTTCTTACCTAAATTTACCTTGCCTCTAAAAGAGAGCGAAACTGATTGAATGAGAAATATATCTATAATTAAATTCGAGGAAATAAGTTTAAATGAAATGCAGCAGAGAATATGTATAATTTAATAGATCGCACAAGGAAGTCGTGTATGATGCCCACATTACATTTTTTTTTAAATTAAAAAATTGCTTTCTAGAAATAATAATTTCAGATTTATTTTGTCCTCTTAAATGTATTTTATAACATATAGTTGTGCACCTCACGTTTTGGTTTAAAACGGCCTCAAAAAAGTATATAACATATATAATATGCATATATTATATATATTTTGTTGTTCTGATAATCCGGTTAATGTTTTCTGTGCCTTGAATTAATCTGCATGTAATAGTTGTAGAATTATCAACAATTTAAAAGTTATTAAAGTGCTGCTAAGCGTAACGAAGCGATAACTATTTGTTTTGCATTTGAAACTTTTAGTAGAATAGCGAATTGAATAAATTGGTGCACCAACTTCAGTGACTTTTTGCAGAGACGAAAAGCAAACTCAGTTTTGTGCACCGAAAAATATGTCTTCCTGCCCGCTAGTTGAATTGCTTGTTTTTGCTAAGAAACTCTAAATTAAATTGTAAATATTTTCTTTAACACTATTTAACTGTACTTGGTGTTTTATTTTTTCTTTATTTTACAATTTTTAAGGAATATGTTTTGAGTTCTTACCTAAATTTACCTTGCCTCTAAAAGAGAGCGAAACTGATTGAATGAGAAATATATCTATAATTAAATTCGAGGAAATAAGTTTAAATGAAATGCGGCAGAGAATATGTATAATTTAATAGATCGCACAAGGAAGTTGTGTATGATGCCCACATTACATTTTTTTTAAATTAAAAAATTGCTTTCTAGAAATAATAATTTCAGATTTATTTTGTCCTCTTAAATGTATTTTATAACATATAGTTGTGCACCTCACGTTTTGGTTTAAAACGGCCTCAAAAAAGTATATAAACATATATAATATGCATATATTATATATATTTGTTGTTCTGATAATCCGGTTAATGTTTTCTGTGCCTTGAATTAATCTGCATGTAATAGTTGTAGAATTATCAACAATTTAAAAGCTATTAAAGTGCTGCTAAGCGTAACGAAGCGATAACTATTTGTTTGCATTTGAAACTTTTAGTAGAATAGCGAATTGAATAAATTGGTGCACCAACTTCAGTGACTTTTTGCAGAGACGAAAAGCAAACTCAGTTTTGTACACCGAAAAATATGTCTTCCTGCCCGCTAGTTGAATTGCTTGTTTTTGCTAAGAAACTCTAATTTAAATTGTAAATATTTTCTTTAACACTATTTAACTGTACTTGGTGTTTTATTTTTTCTTTATTTTACAATTTTTAAGGAATATGTTTTGAGTTCTGACCTAAATTTACCTTGCCTCTAAAAGAGAGCGAAACTGATTGAATGAGAAATATATCTATAATTAAATTCGATAAAATAAGTTTAAATGAATGCAGCAGAGAATATGTATAATTTAATAGATCGCACAAGGAAGTCGTGTATGATGCCCACATTACATTTTTTTAAATTAAAAAATTGCTTTCTAGAAATAATAATTTCAGATTTATTTTGTCCTCTTAAATGTATTTGCTATATTACAAACTTCAAAAACATTTTCAGTTAGCATTGTCAATTTTCTAGCAGCATGGATTTTCATATTTTTAATAACAATGATTCTGCGTCTAAAAACATTTCCTGCTCACTCAAACCTTTCTGGGTGTTTCTTATAAGTTTTGCCCAAATATCTGGCAGTCGTTTTTTTCTGTCTTTCACCGAATTAATGGAGTTTAATATTATAACCGTTAATTTGCAAAACTGATGAAATTTTCACTGAAATGCATACTTCACTGAAATACTTCAATTGCCGGAAATATAAATTTTGCAGAAAACAGCCAAACTGGTAGCCATTTTTCAACAAACATTTTTTAATCTGGGCAATATTTTAATGATCATCCAGAGAAAAACTCACATTTTCAAAGAAAACAATTCAGATGATAGCGAAAGAAATGGAATTTTGCTGAAACATTTTAACTCAAGGCTCGATAAGTTCAATACAATTCTTAATTGTTCTCTAATTCCTAATTCACAAAAGGCACTTGAAGACATCTTGAAATGCATCCCATTCATCTTATGATTTATTAACTGCTTCATTAAAATATATAAATTAAAATATATATTAAATTAAAATAAATTAAGGTTATTAAAAATTTCCTTTCTACTTCCTTGTGCGAAAAAAAAGGAAGTATTGTTATCACGAAAAATTTCGGGTATCATATTTCAAGGAAAATATTCATCTTGAAGCTCTCGAGTCCATTTGAACACTTTTTTGCATGACATCTATACGTAAGGACAGAACAAAGGATTCTTTTCGCAAAACAGATTGTAAAATAGATTTAAAATGTATTTATTCACATGGGATATTTTTCGTGACGTCCGCATATTTTTAGAATTTCCGATCATTTAATCAAGATTTAATGAGTTTTCTTTTACTTTTTGCTAAGGTAAACGTTTTGATCTTTAAAGAAAAATTCCATAATTAATAAAAATTTCAATTTTACTAATTTTACCATATATTGATATTAATAAATTTTGATGGTAGGAAAATGTGAAAGTTCAAAAACATTTCAAAGCTAGAGAGAAATAGTAGAAATTGCCAGAATTTTATTAATAGGACGAAGAAAATATTAAAAAAAATCTGAAAGGTTTCAGATTTTAAATAACGTCCAAAGGGACGTTTTTTTCATCTTGTGTGTTACCTTTATTTATTAAATATCATAAAATTCAGTTCAAGAGCAATGTCGCAAAATAATTTTTAAATAAGCATATCTTTAGAATTTCCGATACACAGTCTCGTACGCTAGAGATAAAAATGTTTTTTCTGTACAACGTTGCCATGGCTCGCTTTGAAATCCTTGAGTTTGTTAATCAAAAATTCTTTCAAGTTTACAAAATATGAAACAAATTTTAAATTTCAAATTTGGGCTTCTAATCAGCGGTCCTTAACCCTTAGAACTTCACGGCCCACTGCATATATAATTTTATATATGACGGACCACTAATATGAATTTCAAAAAAAAGGTAAATACATTTTTATAATAATAATCAGCAAACTACACATATTTCGTTCACATTGAAAAATTACATGAAAAGTACAAAAATCTTACCCTCTTGTACAAAAAGCTTCACATTTCTATATCACTGTAAAGGAACTTCACTAAAAGCAAGAACAAATCGGCAAACACAAAGCAACATAATTAACTGATAGTGTTATGCCGCCAATTTTTAATTATTGTAAACATAGCAATCATCGCTTACTCAGCAATGGCGAAATCGATCAACAATTAAACAAGACAAAAAAGGAAACTTCCAGTGGTGGAATTAATAAACAAGAATGTAGATGGTTCTCATAAAAAATCCATCAAGTTGCCTATTGGCACAGAGAAAAACTGTGTTATTAACGACTGCAATAGCATATGTTTGTAATTCAAACGAAAAGAGAATTCCAGTTCGCGCTAATATTGATAACATTAGCATATCCATCGATGCCAACTCTCACTTTCAAATGTCGTTAGATACATCTGCAAAAGAAACAAAAGTAGCTTGATTGGCCCTTTTGACTAAAAATATTAAAGTATCGCATCTTTAATCACAACATAACGTAGCTTCTAAAGTCTGTTTTTAACTAACGAAATTTAATTAAGACACAATAACACACCGAACAAATAATAATTCAGAAGTCAAACAACGATATAACGCTGATTTTTGTTGTTTGACTTCTGAATTATTAACGAAACTTAATTAGTAATTCAATTAAGTAATTCGGTAATCTTGTGCTATCGGGACGGAATTCAAAAATGTATGTATGTGCACATATGTACGTGTGTATACTCACACATATACGCACATACATACATTTAATGAATAATATTTTAATTTTATATGAACTTATGAACAACTAGCCTAATCTCATTATAAATTTAAAACTGTCTAAAAAGTTAGAATATATCGGTAATTGATGAATATTAGCGCAATTAATCCTTAGAAATAAGCACAATACAATTCAAATATTTCATTTGCAATTCTAGAATTTCAGTTTAAGGCAAGAATGCTAAATTAGTTTAATTAGCTTGAAGTTAATTGAGCATGAAACTTAAATTATGCAGTCATTGGAAATTCTAATTTAACTAAACCAAAGGTAACTCTACTTAAGGCCCTCGCTAATGTGAACTTAATCCTCACCAGAAGGAATTCAAACTAACTTACCAGATATTAATACTACTGCAACGATTTCATAGTCCTTTTGCCGCTAAAGAACAAGCGAATTTGGGAGAACTCTTGCTGTATTGCTACAGGACAAACTGCAATATCCTTCTAATTCTCATATTTAAATGCATTTCTAATAGGCATTTTCTGGAAAGTCCTGAAAGCAAGGGAAGGGAAATGAAAGAAATAAAAAATTAAAAACTTAATTCGCAACTAAACAAGGAAAACCGCAACCAGGTGCAACGAATCTCACATACTAATTATTATGCAATACCTTCTAAGTAATACGAGTTAAGATGGACAAAACCAGATCAAGGTTAACAATACTGAAAGAACAACAGAATAATAGAAAGAAATCTTATTTTCGCTTAACAGAATGACAGGATTTTATGTAAAAACAGAAGCGAAACTAACAATGGATTTCCAAATGAATAAACTACTAAATTACTACTAAATTCCTTAAGCATTATTAAAATGTCAAGGAGGGAAAGGATGTATTGTAAAGGAAATGGGAGATAATACGATGCATTAACCATCTCACCTTTTTTTTATCGTAGTAAACAACAAACGTGTAATGAAGTTAAAAAACAGAAAACAAGAATGATTTGTAAATAAGCTAATCATTTAAAATGCGTGCTTGTAAATTTAGGCAAAAGTAAGTGCTTCGTGGCTTGCGAAATGAAGAAATAGACAAAGATATGAGAGTAGAGAAATTTTTATATAAAATAATTCAGACATTATTTTATAAACAACGATAAACGATTATGTTTTGGCGTGTTCCAAAACGCAGTATACTTCCTCCTGCATAGATGGTGTCATCTTGATTAATAGTGCCTCTAGGGGGGATTTTGTAAGCGGAAGATTTCCTCTTAACAGAAGATTATTCCCGATTGCCAGACAAAAATTACATGATTGTAGTTTCAAAGTTAATTTGTTTCGGCTTAATAAATCAATTCAGGATTTGTTCTATGCTATTCATTTTGTCCCATTCTATATGAAACATCCTGTATAACACAGGTAAGCAAACGTAATGGTTTAAAATGCTTAGGAAAAGTGGATCACTATTTGGTTACAGAAAGTTTCAAGCAATGCTTTATTTCGTATATTAAATACAACCTTGTAACAGGACTCATTCGTGACTCATTCTTAAAACGGAGCATCGCTGTTGGTCATGTGATGCGAGATTCGCAAAAATTATGAACATTCTTTTTTTTTTACAGGCTTTCTGACACAACTTTGAACGATTCGCGCAAGCTATGTAGCTAAAATACTCTCTCACTTTTATTATTCCTTTTCTTTGAGTAATTCTTAAATAAATTGTTGTTCGTCATACTTAGTTATCTTAGGTATTAGTTCCGAGATTCTTTAATAAAGAACAAGAAGAAATACACATATATTATATGTTAAAGCATTAAATTTCAAGTAAAAGAACCTGAAGATTGTGTTGGGTAGGAAGAAGTAATTTATTGTTAATTCCTGATAATTTTAACATAAAAGTAAATAAATCTCTAACTGCTTATCGTTGACGATGCAAAATCACGTTTCATTTCGTTGGTCAAAAGTAAAAAAAAAAATTTTTTTCATAAGAACTTATTGACGTCATAGTGGCGTCATAATTATTGACGTCAGACTAAAAGATCGTGACTTAACTCGTAACTCGTTTTAGTAGATTAATTTTCAAGTGATCTGGATATTAAGATCACTTGTAATTTTTTAATTTAAGCCGTGTATTTCGGTAAAATAGGAAACAAACATGGGGAATAACTAAACTAAGAACTTTTGTGAAATACTGAGGAAGTATAAATTGCATTGTGAATTTTAAAATGGCATAAAAGAATTTATACAGGTAATATTTTAATTGAATGAATTTTTTGAGAGGATAAATTGCCCATAAATTTAAGTCTGATATTATCCTGAATAAGGTATACTAGTACGAACTGCTGTCACTTTCTGTAGCAGTGTTCTTAAATATCATGAAAAGAACTCTAAAGATCATAAGAATCGTAAGAATGCGTAATACCTTAGTAATGTAAGATGATCATAATTAGCCCAAAATGGATGTTAGTTCTGAATGGGATATCAGTTTCGAAACGGTATTTTGCATTGAAACACATTAAACGACGTATCACATTGCAAATTCTTGCCAACAAATATTATCGCACTTTATAATATATAAAAAAGTTTACTTATGAAGAAAGTGCGTGAAGGTATGTATGTTTCTCGCATTGCGAAAAAACAACAGTACCTACAGCCAACCGATTTGGAACAACGTAGTCCTCCATCAGAATATGGGCACCTGAAAGCCCGAATTTTGAATTTCAAACTTGTTTTATGATTAGTCTAAAGGGGCTTTGTCCCTGAAGGACTATTGTTTTCGTTTTGCTATTTTGCGTTAAATCACTATAAATGTCCGTTTCACTTTTCAAACTGTTGTCACCAAATATAATCGCCCTGTATTATATTTAAAGAAATTAAACAATGAAGAATCTACATCAGTGTATGTATATTTCTCTCACTATTCCAAAACAACGGTACATAGAGCCATTAGAATTTGAATCATGTAATCTTCCATAGAATATGGGCATATGGAAGCCCTAATTTGAATTTGAAATTAGTTCTATTATCGATTTCATATTTTGTAAAACTTTAACGAAGTTTTAATTAATAAACTCAAGGATTTCAAAGCGAGCCATGGCAACGTTGTACAGAAAAAAACATTTTTATCTCCAGGGCGCGAGACTGTGTATCGGAAATTCTAAAGATTTGCAAATTTTAAAATTATTTTGCGATATTGCTGTTGAACTGAATTTTATGATTTAAGTGCGAAGAACTTGATATTTAATAAATAAACGTAACACGCAAAATGTAAAAAAACGCCCCTTTGAACGTAATTTAAAATCTGAAAACTTTCGGATTTTTTTTTTTTTTTTTTTTTATTAGTAGAAATTTTTTTTTTAGCATCGTAAATTTTTCTTTGCTCGTAGCAGAGTGGATTGGATTATGTGAATAGTGGCAAAGCAAGCGGAGGCTGTCTGCCTATGGAGAGGAATTCCTCTGCCGAAAACATTTTAAAGAATTATTTACTCTGAGAATGGTGAAAGCTTACTTGCAGCTAGCCTATTTGCTGGGACACGAACACTGGTAGAACTTCATGTGTCCAGCGGTTTTACCGTTTAGCCGCTTGTGGGCTTCGTAGCGGAAAGTTTCTGCAAGATATTTTTCCAGAAAAGTATAATCAGGAATTCAGTTTTCTAAGAAAGTAGTTACGTTTAGGTTTCTAGCTAGGAACATTCAAAAACATTTCACATTTGTTTTCACAAGCTATATCACGATAAATGGATACAGAAAATGAATGCAAGATCATGCCATTTCGCTAATAATGAAAGATACTTTTTTAGCATTATGAAATTTCGCATTCTGTGCAGCCTAATACTAATAATGGTAAAACCAGTAGATTGAAGATCCGCCATTTTTGTGTAAAATTTTAAGCTTTTTCAAGAAATAGGCTTCCTGAGAAATGAGTCCACCTGCACTCGAGTGATAAGGTAACTGATTACTGATAGTCTAGCTCGAGATTAAATTCCAGCGAACGCGCTAACTGCATAGCAGATTTTGTAAGTTTCCCTGTATCTAATCCGGATACTAATAGAAACTCCTTTACGATGGTAACTATCCTCTTAGAAAGAACAATCTTATGATCTTTGTATAATGCAAATAACCTAGTCTAACCTTCCTTAAAAATCTCTTAAGAAAGAAAACTCATCGGAAAAATCCTCCGTTCCATTGCATAATTTAGCTAGATTGCAATATATTTTGATTCAAATTGCTTAGCATATAACTGTTACGGTGAAACACGGAAATCTGGAGAATGTCGACTTTCACCGGTGAATGTCAACATTCACATAGTCGCTTGGTGTATGTCCGAAATATTTTCCAAATACTCTTATTTCTGACTTACACCGGTGAATGTCGACATTCACCATGTACTAATGGTGAATGTCGAACATATAAGAATATTATATTTCCTTCTCCGTAATTCATTCGCGAAAAAAACGCACTTGAGACACAGAATAGGAACTTAAGAACATAAGAACTTAAAACACACAAATACATTCAAAATGAGAAAGGAAAATAATAGAAGTTATAAACTTACCAAATTATGTGATTCAAATCTTATTTATTGCAACAACCTAAACTATTATGACACTTTGAATTGCACAAGAGGCTCTTGCTTTTACAACTGCATCTATTTGTGGAACACTTCCTTTTGGAATTGCAGCGTGTGCATAGACTCCTCTCTTTTCGACCTACACCAGAGCATATCTGTGATTGTCGACATACATCGGTAAGGGTCCGAATGTAAAAGAATGTAAAGAAACATTCGATCTTTCACCGACGTATTTGGTGAATGTTGACATTCTCTGGTGAAAGTCGACATTCTCCAGTTTCGGTCTTTCACGGTAACATAACCATTGTAGAGTCATTACGTTATGTTGAAGCAGGAGACAATAAAAATGGGCAATGCTCTCCCTGGGACCTAGACCTGGACCTCTCGAATATGCTGTTGTTATACCACGAAGGCATGCTGGAAGGAGGGAAGAAATACTTCATATGCTCCCCCTTTTAAAGCGTCAGTGGGGATGAGAGGACCCTATTACCAAATCCTAGTGGTGACGAATTATTCTTCACCACCTTTTAGTTCGCGCGCCATTGTAGAATAGTTAGGTCATTTTGATGAAAGATAAGAGATGATAAGAGATGAAAAATGAGCAATGCTCTCTCCGGGATTCGACCTTGGACCTCTCGAATACGCTACTCCACAAAGGCATGCTGGAAGGAGGGAGAAAATATCTCACAACGTTCAGAACATAAAGCAAATTTTCCGTTATTACTTTTTAAAACCCAAACCTGTCTACAATGTTCGAAGAAATGACAGCATAAGCAAGAAGCGATAGAAAATATTGCACTTGCATTTGATTCGTTCTGCAAAAATTCTTACTTATATTAGGGTAAGTATACAAGTTTATGCATGAGTTTAATAATAATAGAATAATGATTTTAAAACTTACCAGGAATTTTCAGTTGAAACAATTACGATTTGTTGGTGTTGTAAAAATTTTCGATAATACTTTAGTAAAGCTGAATGCCAGCAGTTGAACAAACTGGGACCAAATGCTTTTAATAATACTTGTTGGCTTAATGTTGCAGACGAATGAAGACCGTGCAAATAAAATAATCGACGCGAATGCGATCATACAATGAGCTATATCTTTGAATTAACAATGTCCTCGGGAGGTAAATTAAAGGTAATGAAAGCTACTCAAGTTCTCAGTGGTCAGGAGAAAGAGAACAAAGTATTAAAATAAACTGCACGTACTTTTCCTCCCTGAAAGGAAAGAGTGAAATTTTTATCCCGAACGTAAGATAAATTCATATTAATAAGGAAACCGATTTCGAATACGATGTGCCAATCTTGTTTCATAATCATTAAGATTTACATGAGATAAAACCGGTCCAAACACAATGCTTGACATAACATGTTCCACCTAGACTCCTCAGGTTTAGACAAATATAGTTTCAGTTGCCAGGTTTTATCCCAGCCATTATTTTCTCTTTTTGATCATTATAGAAGGAACTTCGCAGGGAAAGCTCAATTTTTATTATATATATGATTTTTACATTTTTTGTGCCAAGTTAAGGAAACGTGGTAATCGCAAAAACTTTCGGGTATCAACGAAATTTTCGGGTATTAGAGAAATGGGTTTTTTAAGGTTCATGAAAATATCCATTTTGGTTCCACTCGACTCCATTTGAACGATGTTTTTGCGTGACATCTGTTCGAACGAACAGAATAAAGGACTCTTTTCCCCAAAACAGGTTGTAAAATGAATTGAAAATGATTTTTTTTTTCTTGACGTACATACGTACGTAGTTATCTCGCATAGTTCCAAAACGAATGGCTGTAGAAAGTCGAAATTTTGTATACGGGACTGCAATAACATTTAGGTGTGCTTTTTTGCTTTTTCGTTGCAATCGGCCGCCCATAACGTATGTAAATATATATAAATACTGGCCCTAATAATATTTCTAACTGTTGTAATTTATAATGCAACGAGTTCATGTGATTTATAATATAATTCATTTATAATTTTTTCATCAGTATTGAAATTAATAGCAGATACTGATAATGTTATACTCGTACATTTAGATTGCAATGATTTAGATTATCGTTGCCTTCTTCTCTCATGCTTTTATGCTATATTCCTAATATTTCATAATGGCATACAGGTAAGTTTAACTCATTCACCAAACATGTAAATCTCTAATTCAGCCCACTTATGTTCTTACGTGTGCTGTATCTTCTATTTTCTTTAATATATTGTACAGTCTAATTTCAAAAGGTCTTATGATCAAGCGGAAAAGTTACTAAATATTGGTAGTTCGACCCGAGTTTCTAGTTCCAGTGATCCCCAGCTCTTTCTTTTTTTGTACTTATTTACTGTGTAAAAATGTAGCGTAAAAATTTCAGTTCATGAAGTAAAAATACTTTTAAAATTTATTCTTTAAAAATATTGCAAAAATTTTCACCTTTACCTTAGCATATCTTTTTACAAATCCTTCTAATAAGAAAAAATAAGGAAAGAAATTAATTCGGTTTCGGTGATTGATACCTCGGTGCAAATTATATGTAACATTTTTCCAAAAGCATAGAGTTTATATGGATATCAATAAATTAAGGATTTTTTCTCCAACTGATTTTCTTAACATGTTTATTCCAGAATTTTCTTTTCACACTCTAGCGCTTAACTTTATGAGTTTTCTATAATCATTCAATTTCTCTAGCCATGGCAACTTTGCATACCTTCTGACAAGTAATTATATTTTTAACCACTGTATTTTAATTTCTGTTGACTATCAGTACATTATTCACTTGTTTCACAAGTGCAACTTTTATTTTATACTCAAATCTACGTAAAATAGCATTAAAACTTCAGTTATGGGGAGCTCCTGATCGATTGCTTGTTTTAGATTGAATGAAATTAAGCTTAATGTTACTGTTAATTAGCTTGTTATTATTTTAATTATACTTTTCTAATTATTTATATGTTCAGATATTTCCAAGTATATTACTCAAACTTTTGCATCCCAATTTTTAATTTTTGGTTAAAAAAATAAACTTTTATTCATTGAGAGGCCTGATTGATTATATTAATTTGTAGTATTGTTTATCTAATTCCTTTCTTCTAGATAAATTTTAGAAAAAACCTTTTAGCATAATAATTTAAATTTATTTACAATTTATAAGTCAGTGTTCCAAATGCAAAATGCATAGTAATGGTTTTATAATAGATTTCATGCTAAGCTTTTTTTTAAACTTAATTTAATTTCTGCAAACATTTACATGATTACTTTAATTAACAAAAAATATTTTTAGCACACTTTGATATGGAATAATTTTTTGCACGCTAGTAAACTCTATTAAATTTTTCAGTCTAGTTCAGACATCTTGACTATTATTGATGTAATTTATTAAAAATATAATTTTTATGCTTTATAATTATTTAATTTATGATATTATTATCATAAATGAAAGATGTTTGTAATGCTAATATGTATGTTTACCAATACCTTTTATTTTCTTTGTTAGCTCTCGCCTTTATTACTGTTATTCAAGTAATTAGATTGCTTGTTAGATATTTTTTAGTTGTTCTTGTGATATGTAATTCTATTTATTTATTTTTATTTTCCTTTTGGCTACAATTGGCTTCGAGAAGTTAATTTGTAACCCTGTAGGCAGCAGGGGGAAGAAATTTTGATTGGTGCAGTTGAACTATAGTACACCCTAGCAGACATTATTCTTATTATTTATATTTTATAAATATCTTCATACAATTATGTACCTACTTACTGTGTTTTTAAACAATATGTATAGATAAAAATTTATAAATTTATAATAAATTACTTCTTTAGATTTTTAACATAATGAGTAAGAATAGAGGATGCAAATTCAAAGATGATCTAGGAAGTGAATTTCCTTTTCTAAAAAAAACCAAAAGCGATTACATGGTAAAATGTGAGAAATGTAATGGTGCATATTCTATTTCGCCCGGCTGGAAGAATGATATTTCAAAGCTCTAGGGAACACATTAAGGGGGCTCATACACCTTAACCCCCTTATGATCTTCGAATATGTGACTATTGCAAGAATTGAGATATTTTGTTTAATTTACAAGCAATTACTTCCAACGTTTTACAGCTGACTACATAATATATCTGCTTTGGGAACTAGTAATCAGAAAGTTGGTGTTGCCACGTATTTTTGTAATTTAATCCGCTTTGTGACAAAATTTTCGTCATGTTTCCAGCCTCGTCATATACTAAAAATGGCTAACACTTGAAATTTAATAGAATTCTTTACATGGGCACTATTTTCTAACTAAACCAAAAATCTGATGAATGTTTTATTATTAAAAAATTTTATGGACGAAAACTTTACAGGTTATTTTAATAAAATATATTTTATAAAATCAACTCCAAATAAAATAAAAATTTAACATGAAATTCTTAGAATTTTTGGTTCGCAGTAGTTTCCAAATGTTATGAAAGCTATATATTAAATATGGAATTAAGTTATGCAACAGAATGTATTAAACTGTGCGCGCAAGATGGAAACATTTTATCAAAAAGCGGATTAAATTATAAAAATATTTGTGGCAACACGAATGTTCTGATTACTATTTCAAGAAGCAGCTATATTATTTAGTCAGCTGTAGAAAGTTGGAAGTAATTGCTTTTAAAATAAATAAGTTATCTCAATTCTTACAACAGTCACATATTCGAAGATTTTATGGGTTTTAAGGTGTATGAGTCCCCTTAATATAAAAGATATTTAAATACTACTGCGTCTTCCTCCAAAATGAAGGAATTCTTTTGGAAAATAATTTATGGAAACGAAGAAAGCAAATTAGCGTTAGCAGAAGGACTTATGTCCTTTCATGATAATAATCACGATCAATCGTTCAGGTCTTGTGCATCACAAGTTGTCCAAAAGTTATTCAACAAAAACCGACAGCAATCTACTAAAAGAATTCATTCAAATGAGAAATATGCCAAAGAATAAAATAATACTATACGCAATATTTTAATGTATTATATTTTTAAATTGCACTTAATGTTGAAATTAAAAAATATATATATTACAATACTATTTTTGCGTTCTATGAAATTTGTGTTGCTTCATGTAGAGCAAATTTTTAATCATGATAACCCCCCCCCGGTAAATGGTGTCCCGCTTTACCAATGTTAAAATCTAGTTGAAACTGAAACCCATACAACTGTTCGGTTACCCGTAGGTCAAATCTCCGCAAAAATCCATAGAAATAAACCCGTACACCTATGTAGGTAACCATAGGCCAAATCCCTGTAAAAACCAGTACACAAAACTCTAAAGAACAATCAAGGTACCTCTTGGCAAAATCGCTACACAGAACACCAGACAAAAACTCATAAACAAAACCAATAGAATTATACCGTAACGGAGTATCCATACACACAATCCCTATAAAACACAACACACAAAAATAGAACTGTATATCAAATTTCCATAAAAACTAGTAATTATTAAAAACATAAACCAGCGGAAGTACACAATTAGCACTGATGAAATACACAGAATTAATTGGGGAGGGGGAAGTATGTAGTGTAATTTCAAATAAAATTCAGTGCGAATAAACTTAATAAAATTTTTATTTCTCAATGCATGTCAGTACCTATAAACATATTACAAATATTTGTATAAATTCTCTTTGCAAAATTTTAAACTCCCTTTATATAATTTTGAAAATAAAATTAATATAAAGATAATAATCATACCATCAAGTCATGATTCACAACCATCGAATGATATATGTAATATATATATATATATATATATATATATATATATATGTAATATTTTATGAGATGAATTCTAATTTAAACTATTTATTATTGTCTTCATCTTGTGTTTCACTGTTCAAATTACAACTGAATTTTAATAATTATCAAGTCTACCAGTTTAAACACCAGGTGAGTAAAAATATTAAATTAGAAATGTTTTTTTCCAAAATAATTTTGTATGTAAAAGTGTTATAAATACTAAAAATTCTTTTTGAAAATAGTGAAAATTTTGTATGTGAAAGTGTATATTAGTACTAAAAAATATAGTAATTATTTTTAAAAAAGTGAAGTTTCTGCTGGTAAATTAGAAAAGTTTCTGAATAATTATAATCATATATTCGTTAAAAGTAAATATGATGTTAGTTGCATTAATATTGAACCCCCTACAGTTGTGTTTACTTCTGAATTACCATTAGCCTATAGGCCATATCGAG